ATGTGATATTCTACTGTGCAAAATAATTTAGTTTTAAAAGGAAATACTGCCCAAATGCAGTTATCTCAACTCCATTTTGGAAATAAGTAATGTGTATATTATAAATATTTTTTTAATTGCACGTTACTTTTAAGAGAGGGATAAAAGGGAATAACATTTGTGAACTAAAAATTATGTATATCACATCAAAACATTCTATATTCATTTCAAAGAATTTCTAAACTTAATCATAAAAACTAATTTAATCCTCACCCAAGTAATACATTCAACAGTAAAGATATAATTTAAAAATAAAGAAAGAAAGAACATAAAAAAAAAAAATCCTCACTCAAGGATCTTTTTTCTATTGATTTTTAGAGAGTGGCAGGGAAGGAGGGGAAAAAAGAGAGAGAGAGAGAGGAGAGAAAGAGAGAGAAACATTGATTGGTTGTTTCTCATCTGTGCCACAACTAGGGATCCAACCCAAAACCTAGGTATGTGCCCTGAACATGAATCAAACCCGCAACCTTTCTCTGGTGTACTGGATGAGGCTCCAAATAACTGAGCAACCCAGCCAGGGCTATAAAAATTAATTTTAAAAAAATATTTTCTTTTAGCTAAATTCAATAAAAACAATTTCCCCCAAAGATTTAATACATTAAACACTGAAACCAATTTATGCTTGTAGATACTGCCTAAATCATTCCACTTTATATCAAGTTGTTTAAAATACGCCCCTCATAAGAAAGTAAATTTTAAGATCAATTGATAGAGTCAGAGCCTTTGCATCTTCTAATTCTACCACACACATTATTGGAACTCAAATTATAATAGTAAGTGTTATTTTAATAGAAGAGCCGACTCACTAACTGTTCTGACGAGTACCTTATGTGGACTCCCATAGCCAGGCTACTGATTTGATACACAGGTAGAAAGCCAAAAGGCTCATCTGCATGGAAGAAAGGGAAAATATCATTACAGCTCTCTTAATATTGAAGACTTGTTTCAAGCCTCCTCTTTAAAAAGTCACTTGGTAGCAGCTTTATTATCTGAAGATGAAAACAAGGCTTAAAATTCAGTTAAGTGTTTAATCTTGTGCTCCATCAATAATTTATCTTTTTGTGGCAAAAGGATAAAATTTGATGACAAATTTTAGAAGCAAAATGCTAATAATGAACCAAAGGACAACTTTCACATATGCTGAATATATCTGCTTAACCTTTCTTAAGTTTAACAAGTTGTTTTTCATAGAACTGTATGGAAATAATTTTGAGAGCTCTGACTGTATGTCTAATAAGACATACTATATTTAAGTACAAATATTTCTACAATAGTTTTAAAAAGAAAAATATAGTCAGCTCTCTGTATCTGCGAGTTCTACAACTGCAGATTCAACCAACCATGCTGGAAATACTTGGGGCGGGGGGATGTTATGTTGTTGCTAACATGTACTGCATAGTTAGGACTAGGATGGTAGCTTCTGTGCTGAACACGTACAGCATTTCTGCCTTATCATTATTCCCTAAGCAACACAGTAACAGCTATTTACAAAGCATTTACATTGTATTATTATATGTATTCTATAGACAATTCAAAGTACACAGGAGGAACTGCATAGGTTATACCCAAACATTACACCATTTTATATAAGGAGCTTAAGCTTCTGTGGATTTGGGGTTGGGGGGTGTAGTGAGGGATGACTAGTTAGCAAATTGAAAAGGACTTTAAATTTTCTTGGACTTTAGCTGGAGATGCTTTCTACAATGTTAAAATGGTCACATCTAAGATACAGTGTTCTTTGGTTCCTCATTCTAATTAACAAAAACTTTCCTTCACATATATTTTTCCTTCTGAAAGCAAAGGAAAAGAACAACATTAACCCAAAACATAATGCTAAAATATAAAAGTTTTAAAATGTTAAAAGCATCTATATTTTTATTTGAAAATTTCTCTTAAATAACATCTTCAACACATGAACATAACTTCCTGCATAAAATAAAACAATTGAAATAAAGTATTCTAAAAAGATAATGACATTAAGACTCATGTTAAATGAGTGTTAAATCTCACTTCTATTTAGAAACAATCACTTGCGTAGAAGTATTACATTAAAAACACCTTATAAAATGTTCTTAGGTTATTCATTTCTTATTTGTACAGGATGAATAATTTGGGGTGGGAGGGAACAGAATAAGCAGCATTAATTAAATTTAACTTTGGTGATAAAAATGCTCTATTTACCCAAAGCCATTTGTAGGATCTTGTAGCCATTAAGTAGAAAGTACAAACTTCACTTCCATTTTAAGTGCCTTCTCATGTCTAGAGGTTAACATACGTGTTCTAGAATAGTAAAGAAAGGGCCTGATCTCATTCTAGAGATTTTGCAACAAAGGTAACAGATATCTAGATATAAATTCATGCTTCAGAACTGAAATGAAGGAAAACATATGATAGAAAAATAATAATTTTTGGATAAATGAGGTAGCCATTAGCTTTTCTCACCCTGAACTAAAATTTTTTTAGTTACTACTCAAATCAATAACAAAATTACAGAAAGTAGGTTTTTAGAGTGTTTCAAGTAAACAAATCCATAATTTCTAGTAAAAAAGGAAAACCTATTAAAACACTCCAATACACATTACACCCTCCAGTGGGCAAGTATCCATGGAAAAATATAAAAAGATTTAGTTGGATTTTCCACTCAGTTAAATCAGTCCTATAACTAATGAAATGATGGTTCTAAAACCTCAACATTCACATTATTTTAATCACTTACTGAGTTAGAAGAAGTAAAGGTTTAAAAAAAAACAAAACAATTTAGATCTCATAGAAGAATAATATAAGAAATAAAATCATGATCTGCTTATATTTCCTTAAAAAACAAAGTGCTATGAGATTCTTATTTCTTTAGCTTATAAAGAAAAAAAAAAAGTAAACAGAATAAATCACATATAAGGATGTATAATTAAAAGATGAAGTATCCTTTATATCATGAACTGCAAAGGCAGCACTAATATTTTAAAGCAAAATATAAGAATTATGGTTCCTTAGTGAGAACTGTGGCAGAAAAGCAGTATGTTCATTAAATTTTTCAGGAAAACAACTTACATTATCACCTGGTAATATTTAGTATTACTGGTCTCATGAGGGTATGTGGTCACTACACAGAAATATAAACACACTTAAAATAAAATTAAGACACTACCTAAAAGAGCCCTTATTCTATATGGCTAATGTTTTAGCACTTAAATGATATAATAGAATAAAAGACTAGATTAAAAGTATTCCACAATGGTCCAAATGTCATTTAAAGTTTCTCCAATTTACAACAGAATACAAAACATAAATTTAGCACATTAAATCTAGAAATCATTTATGAAGATGTACAATTCCAAAAAATGTATTAAAGAATTTCTGAATATAAGTATTCTCTAGGAAAAACTAGTACAACTAAGACTACTTCAAGACTTGAACTTATTATCTAGGCTATGAGACTAGTAATTAAAGGACAACAGTGACATCTAGCGAGCATTTCAAATATATACCACACACATCTTGAATCAAAACTTTATTTCCAGTGTCTCATATGTTTCAACCTGCCTGAGGAATTATGTGACAAATCTTTAGTTTTAAAACAAAACAAGGCGACTCTCCTCCCAAACAGTTTCTCAATATGCTGAACCATTCATGTGATAAATACAAAATGCAGAGACTAAGGTAAGTAAGAGTCCAGTCCACAAATTAACTGGAATTCTTAAAAAAAAAAAAAAAGAAAATCAAAGGTGCTTCCTAGATCTCTCATAACCAATGACTTTAAAAGCTTGTAATGATTATTTCAGCTCAATGATTTTCTGACAAGAAACCATGCTAAGGTCTAGAACTTCACCAGTATACAATTCAAATCACTGAAAATATCTCAAATGAAATGTAAATATTTCAACAATAAAAAAACTCAGGTCACAAAAGCACTAATAGCTTCAAAAAGTCATATAGAGGAAAAATAAACTACAGTATATTCAAACAATGAACTATAACTCAGGAATAAAAAAGAATGAAGTAATAATACATGCAACAAAATGGGTAAATCTCAAAAAAATTAGGCTGAGTGAAAGAAGCCTTACAGAAAAGTTACACCCTGTATGATTCCACTTATATGACATTTTATCTAGAACAGGCAAAATGAGCTATGGAATTAATGAGTAAATTAATATACACATACATAAACAAAATCAGAACAGCAGTTACCTCTGAGGGTAAAATGGAGATGGAGATTGGGCAAGGACATGAGGGAATTTTCTGAGGTAATGGAATTGTTCTATATCTTAATAGCAGTTGGTGTTACACAGATGTATGCATTTGTTAAAACTTATAACTTAAAACTTATTAGTTAACACAAATAACTAAGATTTGTGTAAAATTCATATAAATTTTACCTAAAAAATGAACCTAAGCAAATATTAATAACTCTAATTATCATATATCATGCTGAAGTATTTGGGGTGATATGTACATATCTGCAACTTTGATATTTTGACATACATACAAAAATTACATGGATTGATAGATTATAATAAAGCAAATACAACAAAATATTAGCAACTATAGAATCTAGGAGGTGAGGATTCACTGTATTAGGATTCACTATAAAATTCTTCCCCTTTTTTGTATGTCTGAAAATTTCCATAATAAAATATTGGGGGAAAATAAAAGTGACATGTAGAACTAAAAAAACATTTTTCAATATTATAAAAAATTAAAAATGTTTTCTTAAATATCAACAATTTTACTTTTATATACAGGGGTGGGCAAAAGTGGGTTTATTATTGTAAGCAAATGAAACAGAGTTTATTCCTATATTATTATTTATTATTATATGATTTTCCATACGAATGACTATTTCCCTACTTTTGCCCGCCCCTGTATTAACATTTTAATCTCTCTAATTTAGTGTTAAATGTGACTATCCTCTAAAGACCATGAGTTACAGGATAACATACATGTTTTAACATTTGAAAACTTACCCGAATTTCTTGAAGGTTGTGGAAATTATTTCCTACTCTGACTGAGATCTTGCTTGGAGTATAGCTTTCATCAGATTTGTAGTCCGCATAAATACATAACGTCTTCACTGTTGTTTTTCTTCTAAAAGCAAGAAAGTAAAAACAATGTGACCTTTATATCACATGAAAAGATTACATCCAAAACATCTTATCCTCTGATTTTATAAATCATTGCTTGCTAAAACAAATATCTAAATCAACAATTTCAATGTTCTTCACTTTTAACAATGATGGAAATGAAGAGCATGTAAAAAGTACAGATATACATTTTACTTATGTAGATATTTCTTATCTAGAACAAGTTCAAGAACAAGATGTAAGCAAAGAAGGAACAATTAAGCCAAAATTGGTACCTTAGAGTATAAATGAGCATTAAGTATTTCAGTTCTCTTCATTTGTATTTTAGACAAAAAAAAATTATTCTAACAAGCTTAGTTTTCTTTAGTAGTTAATTACTTAATTTCCAATGTTAATACTTGAAAATAACTAGCTAAAGTGACACATTAAATCCAGCAAAGAGAGAAGCACTTGAAAAAAAAGTATAATCTATTCCTTAATGCAAAAAATAGAATTGTTCTAAAAGTATATTAGTTAGAAAGGTAAGCAAAGACTATGAAACAGAAAATTAGTCTCAGAAAAGTGCAAGTGAATAAAAAATATAAAAATATATTCGATCTGTAATAACCAAAAACATAATTTAAAACACACACAGACATTAGTTTTGTTATTATATTGCAAAATATTAGAATGACTGATAATACCAAACTTTGATTAGAAAAAGGTACATTAATAGCCAGTCAGTAAAAACATAGCCTTTAACCCACAAATTCAACTTCTAAGAATGCATTAAAAGACAATACAACTAAGATGCAAAAGAAAGAAAAAAAAAAATGATCACTGCCCTACAGTTAAATTACTGAAAAATTACAAACAACTTAAATATCTATCTTAATAGGAAATTAAACAAATCATAGTGTATTTAGTCAATGATGCACTACAACTATTTAAAATAATCACAAAGATATATAGTTAGATAGGAAAAAAGTAGATTACAATGCAGTGATATACAGAAAGATTGCATTCTGAAGAAAACAAAATATTTTGAAGGCATATAAACATATATGTGTATAGAAAAAGAATTACATAGAATCATACACAAACAGTAAAAGTAGCTATTTTGGTGGGGTGGAACTATGGAAGATACTTATTTTCTTCTTTATGGTTTGTATGTTTTCTGAATTTTTTACAATAACCATGTGTTATTTTGGTCATTAGTAAAAAATATGAGACAATTTTAAACATCACCCCCCTCCCAAAAAAAAACCCCCACTAAGAAGTCCATTTAAAAGTGCTTTAAAAGTTAAGTTCTGGTATAAACTGGCACTAACTTAACAACAATGAGTTCCTTGAACAGAAGCAGTCTGTGTCAAAAGTCACCCTATAAAACCAGCAGGGGATCTGTCGCTCTCAGTGAGGGACCAACTTCGGGAGACCCAGCTATTCATCAGAAAGCAATGGAGAGAGCTGAGGACTTTCCCTCAAATAGTAAAGACAGATGAAGATGTAAGACGCTGGATACCCAGGAACTGCTGACAGGATAAATACCATTACCAGGTTTTCAAGAGAGGCCAGAGGTATCAGACTGACATCTTTCTGCAGGGCCAGGAAGGAGACATGAGAGGAGGCACAGGAAGAAGGGGGAATTCTGAAAGGCATACAAAGATCTTTTCCCTGATGAGCCATAAGCAGGAGTGAAAGGTCTTTCTTATTACAGAGAGGTCAAAGATCATGAAGCTTACTCTTAAGGACTTCTTTTTTTAATGAAAGCAGATCTAAAGGACCAAGTTTCTTGCTCAGAAAAAAAATTTATCTCCAAGTTATAAAATTTAGGATAACTTAGGCACTGGAACCTACAAGATAATCAGGATGAGGTTAGAAAGAATAATTGCCTTGCTAATCATTGTAAAAACAACTGCAACAGCGACAAAAAGCAATGAGTCCTCTGTGTCTGGCCCTGAAATAATGGTTTATGTGTATTATCTCATTCCTCAACCTTATGATATAGGAGCTTTATTACCTTCATTTCATTGATTAAAAAAACAAAAAACACCATTAATACTTAATAATTGGTTAAGGTAAAAATCTAGTAGGTGAGCACTGTAGGAGTTCAAATGTGACTCACATGATCTTAAACTACCGCATTCCTACTAATAATTGCACTTAGCTTATTCAATAGTCATTGATACCAGTTTACAGTAATATGTAAGTATTTACACTTCTTTAACTTTTATCCATACCATGGGTTGTTGTCCTAAGGTCCATGCATCCCCAGAAATCCTATGTATAATTTATACTCTATACATTGATTCATTAAATTTGCAAAGGAAACTGTGACCTCACCAAAAGTTTAAAACTATTACTCGAAAAGGTACCTGTAAAGCCTTTAAAAATTATTTATAAATTTATTTCATGGTGAAGTTAAAATAGCAGTGCACGTGGGAAGATTAAATGCATAGGTTATGAGAAATACTACCAGCTACTCAAACTGCTCAAATCATCATTATAATGATTACCATGAACTGAATGCTTTCTATATGCCAGGCACCCTACTGAACTCTTAGGGTAACACTCCCAGCCTCTCTCTATTTCCTCGCCCACTACTCCCTTCCTGCTGAGAAAGAGCTGCTTTCAGGGAGCAAACATTTGCTTTGTCCCTTCCTGCCACAAATTTAATAGGAGCAGGCTCTACCTGCTCTAACTCTTTCAAAACTGGATGGGCACATCTGTTTAATTCTAGGGTTCAATATTAGGAAAAACATTTGACTTCAGATATAAGCCCCTTTCTCAAACATCAGCCTTGTCAGTTTTATAAAGATGATATGTTGGTCTCCACCTGCTGACTCTTGAATAATTTCTTAACTGATTTAGAATCCATGAAATTTCAACAGAAGACATTAGTGACAGATACTCCTAGTTGCCAACTTAACAGCTCCTTTTCCTTTTTATTTTCCTAGCATCTAGCTAAAAAGCTGTATTCCCCAGCTTCTTTTAAGGCTAGGTATGACCATGAGACTAAGTTATGACCAGTAAGATTTAAACCGAATGACTGAGTGAAATAAAGAAAGTTTCTTTAAGAGGAAAACACCCCCCTTTTATCTTTCCCATCAACTCCTTCCTGCTGCCTGGGATATAGACATGATGCAACCTAGATGATAGAATCCACAAGCTACGAAGAGTGGACTGAAAGAGAAGGAATCTGGGTCCACAAGATACTGTGGGGCTGCCACACCACTCCTGGACTGCCAGGCTCCTCTTATATGAAGAGGCAGAAGAAATAAATTTCCACCTTGTTTAAAACACTGTTATAGAAGCTCTGTTGCTAGAAGTTCTTGTTCCTATTTAATATAACATTATTATGCCCACATTACAGATAAGAAAACTGAAGCTCAGATGAAGTTAAGTAACTAGTGCTCATTTACACATCTAGTAAAACATGGAGCCAGATTTTGTAGTCTGCATGACTATACTATATTGACTGCATGACTATACTAAAGTCTTCAGGTACAAGATTTAAAACTAAAAAACAAAATAGTTATAAAATTGTTTGTAAGTTCCTGTTAACATGCTAGATACGTTATTACCAAGAGACTGAGATATAAAAGAAACATTAAAGAGTCTACATACTTTTCTGAAACAAAAAGCAAACAAATGACTGATACACATTTAAATAATTGCACTTTCCTTTGTTCCTGGTACAAAGTGGACAACTCCCTCTCTGTGTGAAAGTTTGTTTCTAATCAATGTTAACAATGATGCTAAAGTGAAAGTTTTCACTGAAGACTGAGACAACAAAGACCATATTTTAATAGAACATATAACACCTTAATGCAAAATTTTCAGCAGATACGGTTAAAAACAAACAAACAAAATGTCAGGGATGTCTCCCCACGAAGAAATAATTGTTACAGGACTTGCCCTCCCACCATAAACAACCAGAATAAACAGACAACATACATGGAAACTGTCTGCAGACACTAAACAAGCAGCACAGGACCACGAGTCCTGAGAGAAAGGAAAGGAATGAGGTGAGCCCTGTGAAAACCGCACATCTTGAGGTATCTCAGAGTTGAGGTATCAGAGTTGAGGTAGGAGCCATACTGAGGGAAAACTCGAGAAATCTGCATGGAGTCCCCGTGAGCCTTTGACTGGACAGCAATAGGCACGTGTGCAGGGTGACACTGCCCAAACAAGCGAAGAACAGCAGTTGCTGGGAAAGAACAATCAATGGGAAGCAATAAGCAAAACAATTCCCAAAGGTGACACAGGGCAGGGAATCATTAGAATTCTCAACCGAAGTGGACAGTCCAAATCTCTCTTCAAATATCATCATTCATTTGAGGTTCCAGAAAGATCCACATTTGTAAACCAGGAGGCTAAGCTTGCTGTGGAGAAGTGATCTTAAAGAGTGGTCTGGGAGCCTGGGGGGACCTCAAGACTCTCTCAAAGAATCAACAAGGTCACAACAAGTTTCCTAATACAGTGATACCTCGGTTCTCGAACGCCTCGGATTTCGACCAAATCGGTATTCGACCAGGAGATTCGAGAAACTTTTGTCTTGGAATCCGAATATTTGGAACTCGAACTTCCGAGGTGAGCCGAGTTGAGCTGAATGGCGTTCATTCGGCCCAGCGCGCCTTGCTTGCGTCTTCAGTGTGAGTGCAGAGAGAGAGTCACGCTTTGTGGAGAGTCACGCTTTACACTGAATTTAACCCTTAGACATACTGTACACTTTTATTTCTTGTTGAGACTTATGTTTTTCTACATATTATATACAAATTAGGCCAGTAAATAGGCATTTTCTGGGGCTTGGAACGAATTAATCCAGTTTCCATTATTTCCTATTGGGTTTCATTGCTTCGGTTCTCGAACAATTTGGTTCTCGACCGTCCTCCTGGAACGAATTATGTTCGAGAACCGAGGTATCACTGTAATACTAAGATGTTATTTGCCTTTTGCAGAATCATTCTCTTACGAGTATACCGTGGAGTTTTCCAGATGCTATCTGACATGGGATGTTGTAAA